AGCGGCATCCGACGTCCAGTTGTCCATCGATGGCCTTGACGTAGTCACCCTCATCGACACGGGAGTTGACTATTCGGTCATGAGCAGGTAATTCGCGTCTAAGCTAAAGAAAGTTACGACTAGATGGGACGGTCGGCACATACGCACAGCAGGAGGCCACCTCGTGACCCCAAGTGGAATGTGCACATCGCGCGTCACCATAGACGGCACTACGTACCCTTCGGAGTTCGTCATTTTGCCTAACTGCTCCCGCAACGTAATTCACGGAATGGACTTTTTGACAGACAATGACGCAATAAATGATCTGCAGACCAGGTCGATAAAGTTTTCTTCCGATCACTCCACGACGCCGCAGCCGGACCTCGGACACCGTGCTGCTGTAAGGATCGCCGACGATCACGTCACCCTGCCACCCCGCGCAAGCTTGATGATCGCCGTCTATTGTGAAGGTGCTGCTCCTGACGTCGACGCTATCGTGGAGACTGACCAAAGGTTGCTTCCAGACCACGGTGTGTCTGTCGCAAGAGACATTGCGTGGTTTAAGCAACGTAGATCCCACGTTTTGGTCACCAATTTCACTGAGGAGTACCAGCATCTAAACAAGGGCGCTGCAATTACGTTCCTCGAAGAAACGCAAGAAGCGAGTCAAGTGATCGCGGTCGCCACCTTTGAACGCGCACGCGCAGATGCTTCCAGGCTGCCACATCCTTTCGACGTGAACCCGGCGCTGTCGCAAGAAAATCGGGACAGATTACTGGAGTTGCTCCGTCGCTACAGCGAGTGTTTTTTCTCGAACTCGAAGTTACGTCAGACACCTTTGTCGAAGCACCGGATAATAACCGAAGATGGAGCCCGACCTACCTGACAGTCACCGTACCGCGTTTATTCACACGAGCGCGAAGCCATCCGGACTCAAGTAGATGACATGCTCAGCGACGACATAATACAGCCATCGAAAAGTCCGTGGGCTGCGCCGGTTGTACTCGTGAAGAAAAAAGATGGCACTTTCAGATTCTGCGTTGACTACCGGAGACTAAACAAAATCACCAAAAAGGACGTGTACCCCCTGCCACGAATCGACGACGCCCTCGACCACCTCTGCCATGCCAAGTACTTCTCATCCATGGATCTGAAGACCGGCTACTGGCAAATCGAAGTGGACGAGAGAGACCGAGAGAAGACTGCATTTATAACACCGGATGGTCTATACGAGTTCAAGGTGATGCCGTTTGGGCTGTGCACGGCGCCCGGAACGTTTGAGAGAGTCATGAACACTGTGCTAGCAGGCCTGAAGTGGCACACTTGCCTCGTATACCTCGATGACGTTGTCGTATTCGCCCGGACTTTCGACGAACACCTCACAATGTTGCAATCTGTACTCGAGGCCATTCGTACGTCGGGGTTAACGCTGAAGCCTGAGAAGTGCCATTTCGCGTACGAGGAACTCAAGTTCTTGGGTCACCTCGTGAACACCACGGGAGTGCTACCTGACCCGGCAAAAACATCAGCCATTGCAAACTTCCCAAGGCCGAAAGATAAGAAGGGTGTGCGAAGGTTTCTCGGACTGTGCGCATACTACCGGCGCTTCGTCGCAAACTTCGCATGCATTGCAGAGCCACTCACGCGCCTGACGAAAAAAAGCGCCCCTTTCAGCTGGAAAAACGACCAAGATAAAGCATTCTGTGAGCTGCAACAACGCCTGCAAAACCCGCCTGTGCTCGCTCATTTCGACGAAAACGCCGAAACGGAAATGCACACGGAGGCCAGTGATATCGGTTTGGGTGCCGTCCTCGTTCAAAAGCAAAGCGGTTACGAAAAGGTAATCGCCTATGCAAGCCGTGGTCTGTCGAAGGAGGAGAGAAACTACTCTGCCTCCGAGAAAGAGTGCCTGGCTATCATATGGGCCATTTCAAAATTTCGCCCATACGTCTATGGTAGAGCGTTTAAGGTTGTGACAGACCATCATGCGCTATGTTGGCTCGCAAATTTGAAGGACCCCTCTGGCCGTCTTGGGCGGTGGAGCTTGCGCCTGCAATAGTTCGACGTTACAATATTCTACAAATCCGGCAGGAAACACTCCGACGCCGACTGCCTGTCCCGTGCCCCCGTCGACCCACCACCACAGGACTCTAATGAAGACAGCGCGTTCTTCGGAGTCGTGACAGATAGCGACCTAGCCGCCGAGCAGCGTGCCGACCCTGACCTCCGCGCCATGATCGACTACCTCGAAGGACGCAACGTCGCCGTGCCTAGGGTGCCAAAACTCCATCCTAATGAAGAAGAATTTCAACCCCAGAACAAGAACGAATTATCTGCTTGTCATCCCCGCAGACCTTCGTGACGAAATTTTGGAAGCGTGCCACGACGACCCGTCTTCCGGACATCTCGGAACAGCTCGCACGATTACAAAAATCAAGGCAAAATACTTCTGGCCCCGCCTTACATCCGATGTCACCCACTACGTCCGGAGCTGCCGGGACTGCCAGCGACGAAAAACACCACCGACGAGGCCTGCCGGACTTCTGCAGCCGATCGCCGTTCCAACGAGGCCCTTCCAACAGATCGGAATGGGCCTTCTAGGCCCGTTCCCTACATCCCGTTCCGCGAACAAATGGATTGTCGTGGCGACAGACTACATGACGCGCTACGCAGAGACCACCGCTCTTCCGAGGGGAACTGCAAAAGAAGTTGCAAAGTTCTTTATTAACCAAGTTGTGCTGCGACATGGAGCCCCTGAGGTCCTAATCACGAACCGGGGAACGACCTTCACTGCGGAGCTCATGCAAGGAATCTTACGCTACAGTAACACGGATCACCGAAGAACGACGGCGTACCACCCCCAAACGAACGGACTGACGGAACGGCTGAATAAGACAATCGTGGATATGCTGTCTACGTACGTCGACGTTGAACATAAGACGTGGGACGAAGTCCTCCCGTACGTCACGTTTGCATACAACACGGCTATCCAAGAAACCACGCAGATGACATCGTTCGAGCTCGTCTGCGGAAGACGGCCGACTACGATGCTCGACGCCATGCTTCCGCACGTAGAAGACGACGACCTCAACGCCGACGTCCAAGGATACCTCCAACGTGCGGAGGAGGCCCGCCAGCTCGCTCGAGTTTGTATAACGGACCAGCAACTGGTGGATGCTGGACGCTACAATCTCTGACGGCGAGACGCCGAGTACCATCCTGGAGATCGTGTGTGGGTTTAGACTCCCATTCAACGACGTGGACTCGGTGAGAAACTTCTACGACGCTATTTCGGACCCTACCGGATTCTACGACGTGTTGGCGAACTAACGTACGAAGTGATCCCCGATGGTGACTCCCGTACATCACGACGACGCACGCGGCCCGAAGTCGTCCATGTGGTTCGCTTAAAACCTTTCTACGGACGATGACGAACTTTTATTTTAATTTGTTTGAATTATCTCTTATGTTAGCATCGGGTCGATGCACTCTTAGAGGGGGGGGGGGGGGTAATGCCGCGAACCATGCATTGGGTTTGTTTATTTGTGTTTTGCTTTTTCGGCCTGGCTGCGCCAGTCTGTGCTATCAGTGTTTTCACAGCGTTCCGAACAAACGCTATCACAGCGTTTCGAACAAACGCTATCGAACAGCGTTTCGAGCGTTCCGAACAAACAGCGTTTCGAACAAACGCTATCACAGCGTTCTCGATACAATTCGACTGTCCGAGAAACCCTCGCGCCGAGGGATATAAATTCCCGCACAGCCGATGCCGCGACATTCGATCGCCGACGCTCACTAGCGTGCACGTCATTTTGCCGGCCGCTGCTTCGCCGCCTGTGTATTCTTTCAGTTGTTAGGGGAGCACAGGTTCGCTCCAATAAACTTGTTTCCCTTATAGACAACTGCGTCGTCCTTTGCTGCGTGACAATATGCAGTGTAGAGTTGCTGGATGCCGCGAAAACTTGCACACGAACGTGGTTCGTAATATCTACGTCATGCTTCAGTATCTCACCCCCCCCCCCCCGTAGTGGTGATACAGACCTACATGTGCGCTAGAATGGTGGCGAATAACTTCATTAGCGTCGAAATATAACTGGCCTACATGCATTCAAGCGTTCCAGTGTTGCCGATGTGAATGGTGAATCGGTGTCACGTATACGTTACTCAATTTGCAGTATCAAGCGTCTATATTTCTCCTAACACTGGGCACAAAGCTTGACTGTGTTGCACAGGCGGCCGGTGGCTTTCAGCGTGGTATAACATGAATTCCCACATTGCTCAGGATCTGCCAAAGTTTTCTGTTACTATGAATCCCGGCGGCTTAGGTTCACAATTTACGCCTGATAGCACATTTCTCTGCGGTACTAGTGAATACTGGCGAAAAAAAAAAGCAAGAGTTAAGACCACAAAGCAAGAATTCAAGACCATAGCACGACGTGACTGATATGAAGTTTCTGCGTTTCGGTCAAGTGCGCTTCTGTCAAGCATTTTCCGGTAACTTATTCTTCAATCAATAGTGAATGTCTAGCCACGCGTTACCTTTCCCGCTTTCACCCCGCCGCGGTGGTCTAGTGGCTAAGGTACTCGGCTGCTGACCCGCAGAGGTGGGGGGGGGGGGGGGGGGGTTCAGATTCTGGCTGTGGCGGCTGCATTTCCGATAGAGGCGGAAATGTTGTAGGCCCATGTGCTCAGATTTGGTTGCACGTTAAAGAACCCAAGGTGGTCGAAATTTCCGGAGCCCTCCACTACTGGCGTCTCTCACTATCCTATGGTGGTTTTGGGACGTTGAACCCCACATACCAGCCTTTCCCGCTTTCTTTCGTTATTTGTAGCGATTACCTCTTCAACCTGACAGTTTCACAGCCATTCGTTTTACGTATGATATCGGGCACACACTTATAACTTATTCAAAGCGTCCATCAATCATAGGCACGGAAACGGAAAGGATTTCCGGTGTCTTTTTTTTCTCGTTTTATGCAAGTGATAAGCACTGTCCACACTTTATTATAAAATGACGGGACCTTCGAAATATGCACACAGCACGTATGGCCTATCTCTAGACTGTGAAAGGTAAGCAAAATGAATTTGATATGAAAGCAAACGTTTCAGGGGGAAGCTTTTCATTCTTTGCGAAAATCCTGAGGCACCTTGGTGCAGCATTCCATGTACAAAAGTCTCCTTATATGTGATTGTGCTAGATCAGGCCGTGCTTCGTTTGTGCATCAAGTTCATCGGTAGCACGCAAAATATTCTTGCGTTTTACTGCGTGCCAACCAAACACTTTATCTTTACAACCATGAAGCCCTAATTTAAGCCCTTTTCATGACGTTCTGTTGAAACTTTTATCAGCCGTATACCATTATGAAGAAATACATATAATGCAACTTGATGAACTTTTTACAAAGCCAGATGATATCATTACTCCAAGATACTTTATCGTACCTGTCATGAAGGGCACAGCAATAATAAAAATCAACAGGCAGTGACGCCACGAAAAGTACATCTGGTACGTTACTTGTAGTAATTATGATATAACTGTCAATACAATAAAGTAGTCAAAAAAGCTACTTGCAGCCAAAAGAGATCGAACCTTCAACCTTCGAATAATGAGTTCGATGCTTCAGCAGCATAGCTACAGCGGTGGTCATCCCCGTGTCCCCTGTATGGGGTATTTATGTGCATTTAAATATAGGAGTGTTCGTGCCGCTTATAGCCATGACGGACAGTGTGGAGCACTCTCGTGGCGTCACGTAGCATATCACCTTGTGAAGAGCTCGCATATGACCCATAATCTCAATCTCCATGCATTAAATTTGCCGGAACAAGACCGTTGCTATGAATTAGGCAATGAAATGTAACTTTAAGGGCTCGTTATTCTTTGTTAAACATAACAATAGTCATAACTAACAATAAATCAAGTCAATGAAAGTAAAAAAGTCGTTATTTGCAGTTGTTATATAAATTTTAATAAATACATATCTAAGAAAACAAGTTGTGCGTCGGAAAATACCTAGCCTGCCTGTAGACTGTCAATAATCTGTCATTAATGACTCATTATTATTGTAACGAAGTAAACTGCCTTCAAATTTTCCTTGTGCCGTTCAGTAAAGTGAAAGAGTAATCGAGTCATGTTCGTCGCACTTTAACAACTAGTTTTTGTATCCCTTATTTATGTGACTATCTGACCTAGATTGTTCTTCCCCAGTAATTCCTTCGTAGAGACACTGCCATTGCGAAAAACATGGCCCACAGATCAACCTTACTGGTGATAGCCATCGCGTGTCTGCTTCTTTGTGGTAAGTGGAGAAAATACTGATTGACTAGGATATCAAAATGCTGGTTTTCGCTTAATGTGGTGGTCCCCATCCGGTGGCAACCACTGCGCATTTTACACACAATCTGCTCCCTTCTTGCAAACATGAATAAGTGGCGCTGTCTGGTGTATTTTTTTGAACTATTGGCAAGATGGTGGTAGTGGAACCACCATCTTTAACAATAAGCACATTTATCGGTTAAAAATTTAGAGTGAAAACACGACAAGTCGAGCCTCAGTTAGGATGGTTCGCTATAGACTGCAAATAGACTTTCAGGGCTTTTAACGTGACAACTTTTAAAGAGCTCATGTCACAAAAAAGTGCTCAAACTTGCGTTAAGTCACGCAAGCCTTGAAATAGCGAAGCTGGGCGATTCTGAAATCTAATCTGGTTGCTGCTACAGGTTGATTCACAGCGCACAACGGTTCCAGTTCCAGAGACAAAAAGCTGCGCTAAAACAGAGCCTTTCAAGCTCCTATAGATCTAGGGCCACGTCGTCATTCACGTAGAGCTTCCATCTCTGCGGAGTACTTTGGCAGCCACCGTTGAATGCCCAGTTCCCTAAAAGATTCTCTCTGCGCACGTTTCGCTGAAATGTGCAGGCACGGTGCTTATCACTGGGTAAATCCGGGCGATTTATTAAAACTTTTCTCATTTAGCGATTATGTCTACCTACAAATATTAGTTGGAGTTGGTTTCCGTCCATTACCTCCCTAATTTTCAGTGAACTAGCCGTGTGTGGAGCAGCCGTCAATAGTGCGATTGGCAAACTTTTTGTTGCATATACCCCTTCATTGTGAACAGAATTTGCTGAACACGGAAAAGTTTTTGAGGCCGGCTTAGGAAGCTCTATTGTTAATACCTTTGATCTGGTTTGGTTTGCTTTGCTTTATTCAAGGCAAAATTGAACAAGATTGCCTTGGGAAACACGACTAAAGGCTAAGTAAATGCCTGACTTGGTCGTGCCACCCTGGCAGCAAAGCAGAAACGTACCGCAAGTACATCACGCAGAAAATTACAACATCACGTGTTATCTTACACAGGTACCATAGTCAAACAGGAACTGCCAGAAGTGTGGATAAAAGAATAGAAATATAAACAGTCCTTATTCGAGTGGTGGCAAATACAAACAAATGCATGTTTTCTATCAAATAAATTAACAAGAGACATCTTGACTAGGAAATCGAGTTGCTCTACAAGACAAATTAGAGTATAATAGACAACAACAAAGGGACAATAATGAACAAGGTGCAACGAATACAAAAACATCATTAACTACAAATTTCGAAAATCAAGAAAAGCATCGCTTTCATCCACTAGAAACTCTTTCGTTATTTTTTAAAATGATCTAGCTGAAATTCCGTCTTCCAGTAAATGCAATATACTTGGGTGTTTGTTAAGAATGTTTGGAATTTGTGACGCTAATCGTTGGTGACCGTAGTTCGTGCGTGATCTATATTTGCATATTACGCTCTTTCTCAGCTCGTATGGTGTTTGTTTCACATAATATGTGTCCAAGAATAGGGATGTATTTAGTTTATACTGGTGTAATATCTCTAGACATAGCTTATGTCTGTATAACAGTTTTATAGGCAATGCTTTGTACATTTTAAAATATGGACGAGCACTTTCGTAAAGGGGAGTGTTAGATAAAGCACGCATAGCACGCTTTTGTAATACCAACAGAGAATTAAGGTTTGTGGTGGTCTTTGTTAGCCACACCAAGGAGCACTATGTTAGTCGTGAATGTAGTAGTGCGTAGTAACTTTGCAGCTTGACATTTGTTGGGACGTAGTATCTCAGTCTATTTAAAATGCCGATTTTCCTGGAAAGATCTTTTTTTATCGCGTCAATGTGAGGAGACCAAGAAAGTTGTTCTTGGAATAGAACTCCTAGAAATTTTATTGTTGTTGTGCGCTGAATCTCGGTGCTCTGGAATTAAAATGGAGTGCATGGTATATGAGCTACTCCTTTAGGCTTGAAATACATGTACTTTGTTATAGCGATATTCACTTGAAGTTTATTTGCGTTTAAACATAAATTTAGTTTTTCCATCCAGACGTTAGCTTCTTGATATAGTTCACATACGTTTGAACCTGCGAAAAATATATTTGTGTCATCAGCGTACAATATTATTTCCTTGTGTCCCTCGATATTTACGATATCATTAATGAACAGCAGGAATAGGATAGGTCCAAGAATCGATCCCTGGGGGACACCATACTTAATGTGTTCAACTTGAGAGTGTGTATTATTACAACAGTATATTGTTTTCTAGACGAGAGATAACTTTGTATTAATTGAGCTGTGGTACCCCGAATGCCATAATACGGTAGTTTTCGTAAAAGTAGATCGTGTTGTATACTGTCGAATGCCTTTCTAAAATCCAGAAATATTCCTCGTGTAAAGATTTTGTTTTCAATGTTGTCTAGAATGTATTCTTTGATGCTGAGTAGAGCCGACTCAGCAGATTTGTTTTTGCAAAATCCATACTGGTCTTTTGCTATTATATTGTGCGTTTAGAAAGACCGTAATGCTCTTATATATAACTCGTTCAGCCATTTTCGCGAACACAGAGAATACAGATATAGGTCTGTAATTGTTAAGCTCATCAAATGACCCACCTCTATGAATGGCAGTTACTTTCGCAAGTTTCATTTGATCGGGAAAAACACCTGAAAATAGCATCAAGTTATAAATGTGCGTTAGTGGTGTAGCGTTAATGTGACTTATAGCGTTTAAAGGCTTTGGCTTAATGTCACCTGGGCCGGAAGCACGGTTATCCTTTCATGACGTGATTAGCTTTACCACTTCTTGTTGATCAGTAGGAAACAGGAATGCACTAGACGGGTAATTTGACGCTATATAGTTCTCGCAACACGTTTCCGTGCTGTCTGTTGTAAACTCACCAACTGTTAAAAAGTATTTGTTAAAGGTGTCAGCGATTTCTAATTTACTCATGCCCAGTTTTTCAAATTTTATTCGTCTGGATATCTCCTTTTTGGTAATGAGCTGATTTATTGTGTCCCAAAGCAGGCGCGCGTCTCCGGAATGAGTGGTAAATTTACTAATGTAGTATTCCATCTTGGTTATCTTCAAATCTTTGGTGGCGGTATTCTCATGATGTGAAAACTAAGGAGAATTCAAATAATAGAACGAGTCGGATTAGAACCCAGACCTTCCTTGCAGCAGTCAGGTGTCGTGACTCAGAGCCAAGCCAATGATTTATGCTATCTTGCAAAGAAATCCTATGCAGGTGTCATGCAGTGCGTGTAGTAGCCTGCTCGCATTATACTGTAACTAGAAGCGTGAAATTCCTGGAAACAACATACCTTGTGAACTGGGTATTATGTGGATGAATAATTGGCCCATCCTCTAGAAAGTGATCAGACATAATTATTCATTGTAAGCAGCGACAGCATTAGCGAAATGTGCTGCTGCGCAGATCCTCATAATGTCTTGCAGACACGTAGTGGGCTTTTTGAAAGTGTACTAGCAGTATACATGCGTTCTATATTAAAAAAAAACTTGGAGAAGGGAAAGCTACAGAGGCAGAGTGTCTTCACATGTTTCACTACGCGAAGTAGTCCAGTATGTCATGCATTACTATTTGTCTTCTGATAGTGCGAATTTTTTGACGTAATTCCCGCAACCGAATTACGTCACTGAAGTCTAGGTGGGCCTCGGCATAAAACACTTACGTGTTAATATTTCAGCAATTCATTAGCGGCATAGGTGCCACCTTAAATGCATAAGACACTTTTTCCCACATACACACCGCTTTCTGACTTAAGTGAAATTAGTGCCGCTCAGTCTCAATAGTGAAGGACGTAACAATGTTTAATTACGTTCGGATTCCTAGAACAACTGTGTTATATTAACCCCTGCAGGTCGATTTCACTCATACTGAGACGATCTTTACTGTTTTTATCTTTTTTCCTCTATTCCTCATATATAGAAGGGAACGCCGTCATGAGAAGGCCATATGACTCTGAAGCTGGAGCCAGAGCTGTTTTCGATGCATCAGAGCGTTCCGGAAGTGCAGCTCACGAAGAGCAAGGTCGGGTGAGCGGCAACTGTGTCTCCACTCTCTGCGGCCAATCTATGGGGTGAGGACTTCCGGATGAAGGCAGCGGGCGAGAGCAATCGAGAATTGACGTGACTCTGTAATAAAGGAAGAGTTACAGAAATATTGTTTTCTCTGATAAGTGTCGACTTCATTCTAGTTGCCATATAGTCAAACTGTCTAGAAATGCCTTCGAGGCACCATGGCTTGGTCTCACAGAATTTATTATTTTTTCAGGAAAGATTATGCTTCTCCAAATATATTTTCTCTACTTTACTTGCTTCCTGTGGCGCTCACTTCTTCTATCTGACTCCCCCATATAAGCCACCTATTTCATTGTTTTGGTTTGCACAGCTTTTCCATATCATCGTCGTCCCCGCAACGAACGGAAAACATTTTGGACAGAAAACAGTCTCTAACCCACGCTTTAATAAAATTTTGTGGTTACATTTGAAACACACACAAAAGAAGGAGCACAGTGATAAACAATCAGTCTTGTGTCGCCGGGAGGAGTAGAGTTTATGAACAAAATTGTGAGTGTATCTTCCCGTAAATGTGCATTTTGTGTCAGTATAAAAATCATGTGAAAATGGTATTTATTCTTTCAAATGATACTGTAAGCTAAGAAGACAACCAATGTAGGATACGGGTTCAAAGCTTGTCACAAGTATCCGTAGAAATAAATAATAGATCAGTTCGTAACCAGAATAAGTATATGAACATATGCATATGTAAGAATCACACACACACACCTGCACGCATGCATAATTCATATTCAAGAGCACAATCAACTGACAGTCATATTGCGTTGTACATTCAGAATAGTTACGTGAACACACATGACTATATACGTCAGATTGTTCAGTCGCCGGTGTGAAAAACGCCACCACCAGTGCCCCCATCGCCGCACAGGCTATAACTGGGAAGTGCAAGGAGCGCCGTACGCAAGCGAAGTCGCATATTGGCCCTCCTCTTTCCTTGGTGTTGTAGAAGAGCAGTTCCATGATAATAAAGCACCTAGCAAGCTTCTAACGTCAATCCAACGTCGATTCAGGAAAGTAGGAGGCTCATCAAAGCGAAATGCCGGTACAACGCAATGGATGTTTCAGTTTACTTTGGCGTGCTGCGACTTGCAGTTTAAGTGCAAGTGAGGGGCGCATGACATTGAGTTCGAGGCATTGCGTTAAAGTTTGGCGTACACATGGTGCCAAAGTCGATTAGGTACATGTGCGAGTAATGTATCTTACGATCAGTGGTACGAAGCCCACTTTATCAAGCGTGAATGGCCCCGGCGATTTTCGCGTTTGCAGTTGCGTTCTTCATTCATCTCGCTTCTTGTGTGTTGAAGTGTTTTATTACACATCCTAAAAAGTTCGGCTCTTGGTTGCCTTCCGTTTGTATATACTTCAAATGGGGATTCATGATGTCCACTTTCCTGGTGTACAACGAAAGGGAAAAACGAAGGCCTCCGAGATATATACATAGCTCCGACAACGCCCAGACCAGCGGAAAGAAAAAAAAAAAACCTTATTGTGGTCATGACCAACATTTTGCGATTTTGCTGTATGACGTACAAGTTAGCATTTTCTGGTTAGAGACGGAACTTAGAGCTTTCAACGCCTACGACTGCGATGCTGTGATGGCGACGACTCCAGAATATCGGTGGTCGCTGCTTGTGTGGTGTTTATCGCCCGCGTCACCAGTCTCCATTTAACATGGCGCGCACCATGATCAGAGGTTTTGTTGAGCTTCATAATCAAAATTACTTTGGTTCTCCGTCCAGGCTATACAAAACAATAACAGGAGACCTACATTGCCACACTTTCTTGAGCGACCGGCTGTGGGGAACGCGAATAATTCGTTCACCCAACACGTTCTAAACGGTTCGTATCCAGCACTCTCACCGTTGTGCTTCGCGACAGCTACATGAATTGGTAAAACAGTAGTTATTTACGTGCGTGGCAATGCACAACGCAGCGTTAGTGCACCTATGGTCTTTTTCTTTTTTTTTTGTAGAGCGCTTAGCCGTTGCGTCTGCTCTTGCTTTCGCCGTCGTTCTGTAGAGTGAACCAGTAAGCACTTCATGCCACTTCTGCGACGCGTCTGACTAGCGGAGAGAAAGACGTAGCTCCTTTTCCAAGAGTTTAATGCACAGACACACCTAATATTTAGCTCAATTGTTGTTTCGCTCACGTTGCACCTAGTAGTGCAGCAAACTGTGCAAGAAAGTTGGGCTTTGCACTACCCAAAACTGCGTCGACAGGTGGCGCTACGTGTTTGCCAAAACTATAGAAACTGACTTTTATATACATCTATATATGCACGCACACATGTAATAAACGACGCTGAAATAAGGTAACTATAACGCTACCACATTAGTGTAAGCAAACCTGGAATAACGACTCCAAGAAAATTTTTATAGAGACCGAAAGGGGGAAGTGTATACGACAATATGATGCCAGTGAACTGTGTAAGTGATTGTTTTGGAAATCAATCTGTGGAGCAGTACTGAAGTTGCGAGAAAGAAAAAAAGTAAAGCAAATGCGTTGGTTTCGCGATGCGTATAGTCGGTGACAAGCAACGAATGAACAAAAATGCCGGCGTATCTGCGTGTTTCGCTGGAGAATATTGTCGAAAAAGCCCCGAGAAGTTTGGGTGGCGCCTCCTGGTGGGAGGCTTGGCTGACGTCACGGAACGGACTCTTCGACGCCCGCCGTGGCGGGCCAACCTAATGATGCGTTCGCTTCATGCACTGTTCCGCTGCTTGTGTATGTTTTCTGCTCGACTGAAGCTCCAGATGAATAGGAAAAATAGACTCCGTAGTGTTCCTGATAAAAAAAAATAAAAAGTTTACCTTCGCTTCTGCAAGTCGCTTGCTCGGTCATAGGCAATGTGAATGGGGTGAAAAAGCCTGTGTCGCGCTTAACCTCTATGATGGATTCCATTCCTGTCCACGGAAGCCGTATTCTGAAGGGTGTGAAAAGCAATAACACACTTATTTTTGAATACAACACACTCATTGTCGCATATTCATTCCATTTTCAGACGCAAGACACCATACTTACATTATTAGATTGGGTTGTTTACGGGTAATTTTCTTTAGAAAATTTGAGGGTTTCCCCTCCTCTAGTGTTATTTGCATCGGAGGAATCCACGTGTCTACGGACAGCGCTTTTACTGGTGTGCCAAGCCTCACGCTCGCGTGCACAATCGAATCTCACAAAATATCTTGAATGCACTCGCCTAGAATACAGCTACCGCTGTTGTGTCTGTTGTTCACGTGTACTTGCTCACTCAACACGTTGTTTAGTTTCATGTTTCTTTCGCAATAATTTGCAAGTTTCATTTCACCGAAACAATTAAGGTTATGTGCGGAAATTCTCATTGCTGTCAGATTCTATCTTTGTGCAGAATCATAGCAACGGTGCAGCCGCGCCCCTAGCTATGCCATGGAGTTTAGATAGCCACCTCATAAATTATTGTTTGTTTGCAACTGATTACGTGGACATGAAGTGCGAGACCAGTCGTCGACTCATCGAAGTAAATGTTGTTTATTTATACTTCCGTCACGGGGGTCACGGAGTGCGCGATCGAAAAAGTTTATTGTGATTTTCTGGCATTTGTGTTCGAATTATTGATATGCGGTGTTCCTACGCGAAGTCAACACTATCGCTTGTGACGCGCCGGTAGATCAGCCGAGCATTTCATGCGAATCAGGGCATATGGCTGCATATTGGCTTGTGACTGTTGAGATAAAACCTGTACATATGATAAAAAAACGGCTTATCTCAATATTTCCGAAATGTTTGCGTGTGTAGCAGCATTACTTTGTGATTTTCTGTATGCGCTAGGTGAGTCCTTATAACAGTCAGATTCGTGTAAAGTCTCCTTTTGGAGAAGGGCAATTCTGCCAAATTATTTAGATTTTTTGCAGATGCAAGCTTAACTTGCTCGGCAAAGTGCAATGTATTCAGTGTACCAAACTGTATAATTTCGTTTGTGATATTTCGGCACACATATGTTCTCGTTGTAATCACGTTAGCGCCATTTACAATACCTTCCTAGCAACCAGTTCTAATGAATACGACTCTCCTATTCATTGTGACAAGACCATTTTCACAATAAATCTTCCATTCGGATGCGAGTCTCCCTACCCTAGGCTAATAATTATCAAAACGTTTTACGGCTACGACACGTTTCACTAGTTATGAAGCCTACCTCCTTGAACCTTGAGAGATTTGCATCACAAAATTGAGGAGTAATCTGCATCGTTTCGCTAAAGAGCGGGTACTCGGCGAGTGCAGGAAAAGGTGACAAGCGGCGGCGGAGTATCCTTGCCGTGACGTCAAAGAACCGCGACCGCAGCGACGCCAGTGTTTGTTCTCGGGGCTAGTAGTCTTCTGTCTGGAGAGAGAGAATAAAACGTTTATTTGGCGTTCTCTGCGAAAAAATTGGCGAGATGGTGCTGCATGAGATTTGAGAGCCATGCATCAATGGTTGAAGAAACGAAGTTTTCCTAGAACGCAAAGTAACTGGTAAGTGGCAGCGCCATGTAGTTTTAGTAAGAGTAACCATATACAGTTACGTCTAGTCTTAGTTAGAATTAGTCGATGCGCGCGCCCCCCTCCGCTCCCGTGGAGGTTGGAGACAGGAGGGTCTCATGTGGCTGTTAAAGAGAAAAGGAGAGAAAAGTGAGCCCCGACACTGTCTGCACCAGAGTGCGACACCTCAACAGTAGCTCAAAAGGAATGGGGGTAAGAAAGAATTAAAAGGATAGGATTAAAAGGTAACTAGATAGAGGAAGGAGAGAGCTGAGGCGCAGGGACAGCGAACGACAGAAAACGACGGAAGTGAAGAGGAGAGGAGACAAGAGGATCGTCTGCTACGGCGTCCGGCATTACGATGCCCTCTCCACAAGCCGCCTATCGCCACGCTAGGGAGCTAACGGGTGACGCGTGGCTGCATACAGTTGTGTGTGTGTGTGTGTGTGAAAACGTGTGGTACTCAATAAACGTGGGAGAAAGACAAAGTTTTCGCACCAGGAGTGTGAAAGTCAGATTTCTATTCTCTAATCTTGAATATTCTGTTTATTTTTTACGTGAAATTATCAGCTAAAGTTGCTCGCAGCAGAAAACTAGCGTCGACGTCAGCCGCGTTCACACCTTCAATTAGAATCTTTTTGGACTAGCCGGTAACTATTTATATAGGTTAAAGATGGGAAACACATGCACCCAAGTCTCATAACTTGCCATTGTTGCTGTGTGTTGTGTGCCTTCTACAAAAGTGTAAAAAAAAGTTTGCCAGTCAGCTGCAAAACAAAACATAAAGAAAAACACATGGTGTCGTGAGACAAGAGAAAAACTGCCATTGCGTACCATATTTTCATATCTTCTTTTCGAATTATTCATCAGCTCTATTACAAATCGTACCCTGCAAAGCACAGTATATTGAATTTTATTTTCGTTTCTTTTATCTTACAGCGTTTGGGCAAAAAAGTATTGAAAACATGTCATACTTTTTGATGCTATGCAAGTGGCTTTTATGGCATTAAGGCATGACTCATACGCAGACATTGGCTATCCAACAAATTTTAGCGTGTTTTCTACAGGAATATAATGCAAAGTAATAGTTTTTCTTAAGCGTTCATTGATATCATTAAAAGGAAGTGGCCACACGGCTTTACAACAATAGAAAATCACAGTGCATTCGATATACCTCAAATTTCGGTGCATGCTACAGCTTGATTTGGACGATTTATTATACTTCAAAAACAAGCGCTACAAATCACTGAAAGTTAACCGCAGTGCATGAAATTTCTAAGCAGCCGGCATTTCGACGCAGCCAAAGCGAATCGCTGACCCTGGCCGGCGGATTGCTGCGGGCGAAGACAAAGGGTTAATAAGAAAGAAGTGGAAGAGTGTCGGTTTCACTACATCAACGAGTATAGGAGCCCAGTCACTAGATCAAGATGGCTAGGCGTTGAGAAAGTGCTTGATGGGACACTTAAGTCGAATAACAATTTTCGTGAGAGTAAAACCTCAATGGATGACAACGTCGATATTATCAACAGCAGAGCCCTACTAACCGAGAAATGAACGTAATTGCACGAGAACACATGCGGCGCAGTAGGACATTCTCAAAATAATACCGATAACGTCAGGATTACAACCTACATATAATTACTAGTAAGCGAACAAGCTGCACTGAATAAAGAACCTTCACTGCGTCAAGAGAAGTAATAAAATGCCGCTTGTTCGTTTCTGTTTGATTAATAAAAAACACAGGGCGTTACTATTACTATGAGGAATGCTGCGACTGGTTCAAAAGTTCAATTTTCGCCTGGTTAAGCTGGACAGGTCGTGTCATCTAGCGAGTCCCAGTTGAACCAAGCACGTCTGCCATCTCGGAGCCAATGACAGAAAATGGTTCAATGGCCGTTGTTGCTGCTGGGGCTCCCGCTGCTTTCGTTTTACTCCTACTAGTGTGCGTGGTCACGTAGTAAAGCCGGGCAAAGTTGTGCGCGGCAACAGTGACGTTGTACGTTCTTATCGAGGCTTGTAATTTGAAGTGCGCATACCCGATGTGCGCCTCTAAAACGTGATATTATTTTAAATCAAGCCCTTCCTTGGCACAAAAGTAAGACTTTGAAGTTTCCAGACCGCTATTTCAACGATCAACGTCGACTTAATAGTTGCCATTAGAAACCCTTTAAACTTTCGCAGGGTGGCTGAAGCGTGTGACTGACCGACTTGACTTGTCTGACATACTGACTAACTGACTGACTTAACTTGACTTCACTTGGCTTGACTTGACTTACTGACTAACTGACTTGACTTACTGACTGACTGACTTGACTGACTGACTGACTTGACTGACTGACTGACTGACTACTGACTGACTGACTTGAGTGACTGACTGAAATTTTGGTGTTCAAGTCTTCAAGAAAGACTATAGTCTATAGAAAGTCACCGGCAGCCCTAAACGTCTGTACGGACGTAAAGTACGTCACATAAATACATCACATATATCCCACAACATAGGCACACAGCTCTTCATGCTGTAAGGAGATGACCGACTTTCACCGTCATTACGAGGGGATGCGAATCATCACTCTGGAGCGTGGCAGGGGGAAGTTTCTCTTGCCAGCTGAGATCTGGAGAGCCAGCTGTTCCCGCTAAGTCAAGCCCAACAAGCCGCAAATGCCAGCAGATCGGTGCACTGAAGACCTCACCAACTTGAGCAGAAAGCTTTGGTTACGGTGCTCGATTGCTGATCCGAAGTAAGCGGGATCACATCTCAGCGGCCGCATTTCCAATGGAGGCTAAAAGACTTCAGGCCTGGTCAAAAACTCCAAGTAGTCAAAAGTTCTGGAAACCTCGACCACGGCATCCCTGATAATAGTATGGTGGTTTTGGGACGTCAAACGTTAACCTTTATATTCAATGAAACTCGCAGTGTACCTCATGCATGCATTTTAGCTGACTCCAAGGCGAAATCAATCTTTGTTTTCTTCTTCTCAGTCGATTAGGTTATCCTACCCAGCCACACTTCAAAAGATTTCTGTACCTAACGTGTTTTTGCTCTACCTCCAAGATCGGAAGCACCTACCTGGTTTTGCAATGCATCCGTGATCGGACCGCCTTTATGTTGTCGTAATGTTATGGTAGCGTCATTTGACATGTAATAGTATGGAAAGTTGAGCGAGTCGGTTTGAGGATATTCTTGGTAACTTTTCAGCACGCACACAGTGTACGGGCAAAACAAAAGGTGAGAAGACGAAACAAGCGCGAACTCAAAACTCTGTTATTGAAACAAATAGACGAAATATATATCCCAGGGTAGCTCAAGAGCGCATGTGCGTAAAAAGCAAAAGTAAAGAAAGGCAAAAGAAATTATCTAAAAGAAGAATGTAAAATTTATTGTCATGGCGTGTTTTTGTTGTTTCTTTTGCTTTTCTTTTGTTACGTTTTTACGCACATGCGCTCTTGAGCTACCCTAGGATATATAATTCGTGTATTTCAATAACTGAGTTGTGAGTTCACCTTTGTTTGTCTTTTGATTGATTTGATTTATATTTGGGGTTTAACGTCCCAAAACAACCATATAATTAGGAGAGACGCCGTAGTGGAGGGCTCCGGAAATTTTGACCAGCTGGGGTTCTTTAACATGCTCCCAAATCTGAGCACACGGGCCTACAACATTTTGTTTGTCTTCTTACCTTTCGCTTTCCAGTACACCGTGTGCGCACCGAAATGTTACCAAGAATGTCATGTGACATTACATAACGTGACGTCACAATGCGTCACAAGTTTTCGTGATCTCACAAGATTATTATTATTATTATGATGATCGAAACTTTCTTGAGGTCTAGAAAAGACGCAGAAAAGACCTTGTGCCACCCGGCTAGTCCCACGTAGGGACCACCAAGCCGAGCTTGACGGCTCGTTCACGGGCACTCTGGACGACCAGGGTTTGGTCGTTGAGTTCGGGGCTGCGCAAGAGCCCTGCCCACCTGTCTTCGCTGAAGGGGGAGCCGATGGCTTCCCATTTCCACAACACATGGATGAATGTTGCTAATAGTCCACAAGCAGGGCAGTTCGCTTTGGGATAACGTTCAGCTAGGCCGGAGGACAGCGGAGGCGCCGCAGTCGATGAGTCCTCGCGCGACCTCGTGTACGCCCGCATTACGGTTAGAAGGTGCTCCTTAACCAAAAAAAGTTTAAATCTAAGGGCTCGTTTTCTTCGTTATCTTCTGTCCTACTTACTATTAATATTTGTTGCAGAACTCATCTCCAAGGTCACCTGTACACCGAAGCCGATCACCAAATTTCGCAGTCAATAGAGCATTTAGAGGGGCCATGCAACACTTTTTGAGCATCGTCAGTAAGCCCTGCTAATTGCTAGTAGAGGCTCTCAAGAACACGCGAGCCAAACTGTTATAGCGCAGCAGGCGACCAGGAGTTCAGAATAAATTATCAACATTAGCTAAAATTATTTTCTATTCTCTCGACAAACGAATGGAAGACGCTCAAAGCTCCCTCGTAGAAAGCCATCTATCAGCCATTGGCTGATTTGAGCATGGCACGCTCGGTCATTACAGAGATCGCTGCGAGTGACCGCGACTTGTCCACCCGTGCTCGCGACCTAAAAAGCCACGAATTCGAAAAAAAAGAAGACTGCTCAAGGCCACGAGGCATGCATGAAGTATTTTCTTTGCCCCAGCTATCTCTCCCTGCTTATCTTACAGTGCTTTCATGAGGACGAGAGAAGAGATAATGCGATTGCAGCGTGCGAAAATTCGCAACTTCACTCGTACTCGGCAGATTGTTAAAATTTTTGTGGGGTTGAGTTCGTGCAGCAATGAGCTCGTCCAGCGAATTAATTCCGTGGTTACTTAAAAGAGTGTTTCAAGGCCTTTTTAACGCACTAGCCGTGAAATGTATTTTTCACTGGTTTCTTCAAAAGGAAACAGAAAACAATTTATTTTATTTCACTCCTACCAGCAAAGCTCAGTCAACGAAATCGTTGAAGACCTGGCCGTTTGAAGCAGCTCTACAGAAATTCAGCTGCTGGTTTCAAAAAGAAACGGCAGTAACAGAGTCTCTGTCACAGTCGTGAATACATTTGCACCAATGCTCGATCCTATTTCTTGAACGTCACGCACTTGTTATTCACGCAGGCTATACCATTCTGTGAGGTTGTGCAGTGGTTGTTTACACAAGCCACAGACAAACGGGCTTGGGCATCTTCAGTACGTACGCCCGTGCGCTGAGTTTCCTCGGACACTGCTCTGTAAAGGTGGTCAACTGGCTTAGTTGTACTTTCTGCAGGAAAAATAAAATAAAGAGAACCACATAAGAAAGTGACATCAAGGAAGTTCAAGCGCGTCAGAGTGGTAAGAATAAACGAAGTAAATCATTCCACTGTATTAATAAATACGATATTCACACCAGATAAACCCACTAAAAGAAAAATGTACCACAAGCGCTCTGTTATCTAAACAACGAGTAAAGAGGCTAATTATGGCAGCGTTTGTCAGCGTTTAACAGCCCAAGGCTCCACGCTATTTGTCTACAGCGTGATTCAAAATGATGACGCATAAACGCAACGTGTGCATCTTGAGCAATTAAAATAGTATGAAGTAGGAAATTTTGTTATTTGAAAGCATTAAAATGCAATGATTATAAACAGGTAGCCACTTTAGAAACAACACAAAATAGTGATATGATCACTGGTGTAATGCCACAATTACTTTTGTCTTAGTGGGACGCTTACCTTGAATCAACGTACCGAGAATGGCAAATGCGATGAGGGTCACCGTGAGCTTCATCGTCCTTCTGGAGCAAACCAAATATACCATGGCTGACGTAAATGCGAACAGATAAGTGGTCATAACAAAATTTGTTCGTTCATTTCAGGGTAGCAGTAGGGAAACCTAATGCAGCGAAAGGAACTCTGCACATTTAAAGGCGAAAGAAAGAATAATACACGAGATAAAAAAGCAAAACTCAAGGTACCTTCACCTTCCATTAAAGTTGACGATAAGGCGACGCAGTTTAGCACGAGTCACCTCAGCCAGCGACAAACAGTACAACAAAATTTGAAATTTCGCCTATGACCACTCAAAGTTTTCTTTTATGTCACACCAGTGCGTCGTCTTGCGTGTTCTTGGCGCTTCTTACATGGTATTGTTCGGTATTTGCCGTCCGTGTGTATTCTCCTTCATACTCAGCGGACTAGCAGTGGGCAGTAGTCTTTTCACATCGCGGTTTCAAACGCACTTGTGACCTTGTTTGTTGCAGTGTTTGGTTTCGTTTCGAATAAAAAAGCCGACTCTCACGAACTTTTTGAGCCGATTCGGATTGGTGAGCCTAAAAAGGTCAAAGTGTTGGAGCGTAACTGCTGAACATTTGCTGTACTTCGTCTGGCGGCAAAGTCGATTCAGGCCACACGGAGCCAAACGAAGCCGAAAAAACCTAAGTTAGGCAAACTCATGTTACTACCTAACATTCCCCTGCTATAGCTGAAGTGCTGTGCAATGCAGCTCTCATAGATGATAGCGCCAGAGTTTCCTTCTGCTGCTTTCATTGGAAGTTTTATGCTTAGCAAGACATCGTCGCTCGGTCAGATGTGTGCTGTTCCCGGCGTCCCTACGACGCCACGTGAGCTGCATGCAGAACGGTTTAAATGGATCTCATTATGAAGTTAGTGCACATTCATTAGGTGAAGGAATCCTGCAGACCAATGTGATAGCAGAGACAACCAAACGTCGGTCTTCTACCCCGCGTGAGTGGTACCCTCTGCCTTGCGGAGTAGCACTAATCTTCTTCCTTACATATTCATCGCCCCTGGAAAATAGCCATCATGGCTACTCATGGGCATATATGAATACATAATGTCTTCCTCTGTCGATTCTCTGCCCCCAACGTTACTGCAGAATGTTTTAAACGGCGGTTAGTCTTAAAAACGACGAAAGAACGCTCCTACAATCCGAGGAGTTGTGGCACTTGCACTTCACAAGCAACACCGCAAACTGCCTTTCCCGTCAATGTGAGGTGACCCTCACAAGATTTCGCTGTGTAGTTCTTCGGTTCAATTATTATCTGCAGAAACCTGGATTATCAATAACTAACCTAAGGGTAGTTTGCAATGAACCGGTAACATTAGATCGCTTCCTTCTCACATGCCACCATTTGGCCTCACTCCGCCGAATGATTCTAGAGGAGTCGATTGGTAAGATAAGATCAGTATTTAATACATCCACCTCTTTATTGTCTGGAGTCAGTCAATTGGGTGCGGGCCTCAGTGCTATTCTGTCAGCGCTACATAATTTCATTCAAGCAACCGAAATGATACTTTGTCAATGGTACCGCCAGATGAATACAATTCCTTGTCCCTCTTCTTCTTCTGGCTATCCTTAAAGTCGGCTTTTGGAATCCTTTTGCCCTTTTTCATTTTTTCCCTTTTTATGTATATGCTCATATTTTGCTCATTCTGTCCGATCTCTCTCGTTTGCAAGCATTGAATTTCAATTTTCGTTATAAGGTACAACGTGGCCAATTGCCCTTGTGGGTATGAGTCAAAATCATTTAGGCGACAAAAGAAGAATTCTCCGTAGGTGGTTGAGCAGACTATCGGCGAATAAAGTGCGGGGACTGCAGGCGAATCGAGATTTTCACGCCTATCAGCGCCACACTCACTCGCCATGGTGGTGCAGTGGGTATGGAGCTCGTCTTCCCATCCAAAAGTCGTGGGTTCGAATCCCCATGACATTTTCAATAGAGGCGAAAATTGTCGAGGCTCATTTACTTTTATTCAAGAGCCCGTTAAAAAAGTGAGCTTTGCTTAATTTCCGGAGTGCGTCACTATGGTGACTATCGTAACCATATAATGGTTTTGGGAGGTTAACCCCTTAACTGCCCATTTAACTCCTGGTCAAGAAGTGCCTATTATTTGATGCTGATTCTGAATGTGGTTCTACTAAAAGTTCCTAGTCGATGTTGAAAAAATATTTTGCCTGCATAATCAGTGAAATCAATGAAATAAAATGCAGTGATGATGTGGTGCGACTGGGCCAAATAAGTATTTACTTGTTCTTGCAGCTACAAGAAATCCAGTATTTCTGCGTAAATAGTTGAAATCGATCTTTGTGCACTCTCATTTTCGGTTTCCATGCGCACAAGAATAGAGGTGTGTGGTTCGGGTTTTTTTTTTACCGCTAAACGACATTTGAAGACACCGGCTCATGCTTCGTGATATTCCATGCCCCGCCGCGATGGTCTAGTGGCTAAGGTACTCGACTGCTGACCCTTAGGTCGCGGGATCAAATCCCGGCTGCGGCGGCTGCATTTGCAATGGAGGCGGAAATGTTGTAGGCCCGTGTGCTCAAATTTGGGTGCACGTTAAAGAACCCCAGGTGGTCGAAATTACCGGAGCCCTCCACTACGGCGTCTCTCATAATCATATGGTGGTTTTGGGACGTTGAACACCACAAACCAATCCATTCGTGATATTCCAAGCATTTCGAGATCTCCAGCACTTCATGAGATAGTATTGCCGAAGTTCTAGTTCTTGCTTGAACATGTGCTACTCTTTTTAATTGGTGCATCACCAAATGTGGTGGGCTCGAATGACCAAGAGACACCCACACTGAAATGATTTTGGTGAAAGGGAGGCATACAGATTACACCTACAGTCACACAGAGACGTGCGTGGACACTCTGCTGTAATCGTCTCAATCTTCGCTGGGCGAATGCTCGTATTTATCATGTAAGCATACGCACGAGCATTATACATATGACGTTCGCATACTTGTCATTCGCATCCACGTTTTGGCTAGCAGACGACGCAAGAGCCATCAACACTACGGCGTTTCGTCAGCTCGCCGCCAGGGGCCGACTCTGCTCGATCTCGGGACCAATAGTGGTAGATCTAGGCAACGTATGGAACTGCACCACGCCGTTTGCGCTCACACTGCAAATAAGGAGCGCGTGCACAGGAAATAAAAAAAATAGGCGACTCTAAAGCTACGCCTTTTGGGCCCTGTTCTATTGTGCGCAATTGTTTGATTTTGATTGATATGTGTGGTTTAACGTCCCAAAACCATATATGATTATGAAAGACGCCGTAATGAAGGGCTCCGGAAATTTCGACCACGTGGGGTTCTTTAACGTATGCCCAAATCTGAGCACACGTGCCTACAACATTTCCGCCTCCATCGGAAATGCCCATATGGTGGTTTTGGGACGTTAAACCCCACATATCAATCATTATCAAATCCATGGGAAATGCAGCCGCCGCAGCCAGCATTCGATCCCGCGATTTGCGGGTCAGTAGCCGAGGACCTTAGCCAGTAGACCACCGCGGCGGGGCAGTGCGCAATTGTTCCTCGTCTGAACTTCAATCACTTAGTGCATGCAACCTTTTCGAACTTGCTATGCACTAATGCGTCACTTAAAGGAATAAACGCAGTAGCGTATGTGCCATTTGTAGCCATTATGATAATCCCATGTCCTGCCACCTGTTGACAATGGGCGCTTGTACTACGCATTATTACTGCAATATTTCATGTTGCAATGTATGCCGGACGCATGTGTTTGTAACACATAAAAGCTACTTTCACTGCATTTACAAGCAGAGGAAGTTCTTTTTTCACTGTATTCACAAGCACGTGCACGCGCGGCGGTATGCTAGAACATATGCTTGCCATGCAAACAAGGGTTTGATCCCCACGCGGATCGAAATGACCCTGGTTCAAACACCACTCTGACGCATTTTCTTTGCGTCGTTCTCCATTTTTCGGTCACGCAAAATATCATAATTTTTCGCTAACAACCAACAATGACGACACCAAATCTTGCAATTTATGTGAAACGAGCTCTTTAACGCTGTCGCTTTCAAATCAACTCGTAGTCATGATGCATGGCACGAACGGCTGAAAGCTTACGAAGACAGTGTCATGTAATTCATGTCGTCAATGATATCTGTATGACCGCTCTCACTTAAGCACCTAGCATTTGTGTTTCTCTTGCAGTCATGTGGTGCTCTGAGAATTTTCTCATATGTTCACTGAATGAAACAGCCGCGAGCGCACAATGAGAATGATATTGAAACAAACATGCCGTACATGGCGTGTTATGATCTTCATGGTACAACTTTCAAGTTATTTTGTCATTCAGCAATTCGCGATATATATATATATATATATATATATATATATATATATATATATATATATATATATATATATATATATATATATATATATATATATATATATATATATATATATATATATATTAGTAACATGGTCGCAAGCGCACCATAAGTGTGAAATACAAGTTAAGCCTTGCATAAAATGCATGTGATAGTTTGGTGGCGAGTACCTGTAATTTATAATTTATACCAGTCGTGTATATTCAGAAGCATCTGATACTGTTGTAATACAACGCAATTAGCTGCCTGCTGAAGACGTCCATGAGGTTCCCACACATTTCGCCAAGTTTCGGCCAGCAGACGACGAAAAGAGACATGTACAATACGGCGTTTCGTCCACTTGTCGCTAGGGGCCGGCTCTGTTCGATTTCATGGTCGATAAGGCTGTATATTGGCACCGTATAGAATTTCAACAGGGCCCTCCCACGACACTTGTTCAAACAAAACACAACGAAAAAAATTATCAATGTCGTGACTCGCGTTCATGAAAGGGCGTAGCTTCGCTCCCCTTGTTATCCATCCTTTCCACCACGCTTCCCTTCGTAGCTTTCATCGTGCGCAGTGGTCAACAAAAAAAAAGGGTTCAACATTAGCGAACAATATCCTTAAAACGGCGCTCGTTGATGGATTATATGTATATATTATCGCTTTTGTGTATCGGAGACTTATTAAACACCATCAATCAAATCATTCGACAATTATTTCGAAATGTGCTGCGTTTATGCAGATCATACATATTGCAGTAATTTCAACAACACTAAAGCTACACGCGATGCTTCCTTACCTTCCGTTCGGAAATGTTTTCTTTTCGTAAGAATAGGGGAAGCATTTCGGCAGAAACTTCTTTGGAATATTTTTCTTCATTTTGACTCATTCATTGCTTTCAATTTGCATTTGAACGCTGCAGTTAATTGGCCTTACCTTTTTGATTTTTACTTGTTCTGAATTTTGTGGGGCACATAAAGGCATATATATGGTATTGTCCCATATGTAGCTGTTGTAATGAAAGTGTAAACTAGCCCACGCTAAAACTGTAAAAAACAAGCAGTTTGCAAAAATAGCCGTCATTAGCTTATCGTCTAATCATCTGCTAAGTCGTAACCTCGTGGTTATTTCACGTAAGAATATCCGAAGAAACATCACTGTCCTGTGAGCACATGCTCATGATTTATGTGTGAAATTCATTTTCTTGTTCTTTTCGAAGTGTGACAATTTTTCGTAACACTTATTTTCAGTCTTTACTACTGCTTCCATACATTCATACTGGTATCCTCTCTCCTTCATCCTTAGACGCAGAATTTCATGGAAGAATAAACGAAATACATACACGATGGAGGATCCTGAACAGATCTCTAGATCGTCCGGAATGATGCACTGGCACGGGAAACAGTTGCGCTGATTCTGCAACGCACAGCGAACGCAGACAGCACGTGGCGAAATACCCTTGTTGTTGCCCTTCTTTCAACAGTGCAACGCCACATGCCACATGTTCTCTGTCCCATTTATTAGCTTTCTACGAATGCGCTGCAAGAGCGAGTGTCATGTAATGAAATGACAATAAAAAGCAACGCATGGAAACTGCGCCGTCGCTTGACGACTCACCCAGTCAAAACAACATAGCTATAGGCAACATATTCAATTAACGTGGCGTGCGTCTGCCAGATGCTCCGCCATTGCGGTATATCTTGAAAAGTACGGTGCACCTGAGAGAACCAATAATAAGATTCACCGCCGCAATTCCACAGTGTATACGCTCCATCAGGTTTCGTACGTGTGTACATGTTTCAGAGTGTTATGCGAACTGCAATGTCATAGCTGAATGCAAATATGTATGTCAGACGGGCTCCAATGCGGTTTTAAAGTTGATCCTCAGAAATAGGGGCTTTTATCACAATTTGTTTGGAATCCGACGAAAGGATTCAGCAATTACATAGGCTGTGAACTTATTTAGTGTGACAAAAGCATGTTCACGCAGTGAAGATTCATTGCGTCATCTCCATGGTTGGTTCCCGAAGCTTTTACACTCAGTCCCGTGTACTGCGCGATGCCAGTGCACGTAAAAGAGCACCAGATGGTCGAAAGTTCCGCAGTGGTCTACTGTGGCGTCTCCTGTAAACATACAGTTGTTTTGCGACGTTATAATAGTTATTAGTTTTATAGTCGGCGTTACTTGAAACCTCAATCTTCAACAAAAAAAAATCTCACACAATGTTCGTGAATTCCTATGAAAAGTTGCAGTGGAGGAAACACGCCGCTTCAGAGTCTAAACGCTTCGGTTTCGGTTATGCCTAATTTCTTCGTTTCGTTTGCGAGATATATTAGCCCGTTTGGGAGGAATAGCTCCGCTAACGCGAGCACCCACATTTAATTCGGACGGACCATTTATAAATTAAATGTTCACTACTAGCTACACCGCAAGACACACCTTAATCAGTCGAATTCATGATTTCTTAAATAATTCAGCAAAGGGAGCCATTCGAACAAAAGCATCGAATCCTGGTGCAACTCATATCTCTGTGACACTTGATACGCACAAAACGTCATACCTGAGTATAGGCATTATTTCATCTACTAAGTTTAATACTGCGGCATTACTCAATAAGGGCGTTGCTGCACAAATTGAACATGTGTTTTGCATCGTTTCGGCTGGTACGGGACAATTCAAAGACATTCTTACGCAAGTAAACAAAAAAAGCTTTGTTAATACTATGTCAATGAAGGAACGAGCTTGAGCTCAGACTATAGCCACACAAGATGGCTATTTTCGAAATGGCAAATGACGCTTGAAACCATGGAAGGGGCGAAGCTGTTTCAGTTGGTTTGAAACAAAATGTAATGAATAAGTTCACAAGCGCCAAGCTGGACTACCCTGTTGTGTGCTGACAAACTGAAATATGTCATGCTACGTCACATACAATAGGATCCTGTTTTTTTCAAACAACCTATAATAAAAGCAAATGTCACAACCTGCAATATAGGTTTTCTGTGAAACTGGTGATGTGGACTACCGCAGTGAGGCTATTTTCTAGCAAAGGAACGCGCCGCCTAATGCTTACGAATTCTTGCTGCGAGTCAGATATGCGCGACATTTGCTTTTTTATCTAGAACGTTCACAAGTAAGAACGCAGCCACTTGTTCAATATGGCTGGGCGTTCAGCAAGTGCTTAAACTTTGGCCGGGTGACTGGATCATGTGACAGACAGACAGACAGACAGACAGACAGACAGACAGACAGACAGACAGACAGACAGACAGACAGACAGACAGACAGACAGACAGACAGACAGACAGACAGACAGACAGAGACAGACAAAAATTTCAGCATTCAATTATCCTAAGAAAGACTATCGTCAATGGCCGCGGGCTTACCCTAGTGGTTAATGTCTCGTGGTCGTGTATACAGTTCTTAGTATTGGCCGTCTTCATGTCTCCGTATCATGGTGCAAACGCCCGCGCAAAGAGCCCCTCCCGTGGTTAGATAATATGGCTTTGTACTGAACAACCATGGTCTGGCTGTCTACTAGCTGTGTGTTCACCACATATGGCTTTCGCTAAACTCGGAGAAGACCTGTGTACGTATAATAAGCGGTAAGAATGTGAAATGAGGGTGAGGAGGAGAGAATAAAAAAAGGGGCGCCAACAGCTTCACTCATACCTCCATGTTTGCATTAGAAGTGTATCCGGGCTCCAGGTAGCCCCAGAGCCCTGGCCAGGCCTGCAGGCTGGGCATTCAGGCTAACGTCTTTCCATCTCGGGCCCGAGGTGGGCTCAAGATATTTCTTTTTTAATCACGGTCGGGCCAGGTGCAAAGCCCGTATCAAGGCCCAAGTATAGATGCTCTGCATGGAATGTTTCCCAGCACATAGTGATCAATTCGGTATATGGCATTTGCGATTATTTATTCATGGAGTGCGGCCTCAGTCCTGCATGTGAGGCACTAAACTTCCGGCAGAAAAAGCAGTCTAAATTGAGGCTTGCTATGCCCGAGGAAAAGGCATTGGACGATTCCGGCTGCCAGTGCGAGTAAAGAAGGGAACTTCAGAGCGGCGGAATATGTGGTGTACAAACGCAGCACTTCACTTACGTCTGAATCATTTGACAGCCTATTTGGCACATCTTGTGATCTATACATATTGTAACGCGGACTGAAAGAGCGAGGAAGAAGAAGAGATCGGACGCTCTCGAGCGATGGTGATTCGGCAGTGACGGTAGAGCGCTGCCATTTTTTCAGTGTAAATAAACCCATCACATCCGTAACAGCTTTGGTGGAGCGGTGCTGGGTAACTTGCCATCCTGGACCCTGCAGCAGAAGTTCTTCGAAGAAGCAGACGCTTAGCTGGCCTACCCCCGGACAACATCAGCATGAACGACGACAGAACAATCCCATTGACGTACTATGCTGCTGCATCCACCAGTGCCACCGACACGGCACAAGGTGGCCGTCGACCCCGACAACCAGACTACTGGGCACCTGAGCCACGAATTTTCTCAGGTAAAACTGACAAAGATGTGGACGCTTGGCTAGAACACTTCGATAGAGTGAGCCGCTACTACGAATGGGGCGCACCAGCGAAGCTCGTGAACGTAGTATTCTTTCTTGCCGGGACAGCCTCGCTTTGGTTTGAGAACCATGAACATGTCCTCCCCACTTGGGATATATTTGTTAAGGAACTGAAGGCCTGCTTTGGGGACACGAGTTCCATGAAAAAGAAAGCTGAGCAAACGCTGTCACGTAGGGCTCAGTTGCCCGGCGAGACGTGCACAACCTACATTGAAGAAGTATTGAAGCTTTGCGGGATTGTCAACGCAAGTATGTCTGACGAAGACAAAGTTGGTCATTTGTTAAAAGGCATCGCCGATGACGTGTACAATTTTTTGATAACAAAAGAAAACTTGAACACTCCTTCGATTTTCAGGCAGCAGTGTCGCGCATTCGAGGCGTTGAAGACCCGGAGAATTCTACCCAAATTCGGGCGCTTGGACAATGTTCCCACGGTCGCAAGTATGGACGTCGCCACCCGCGAAGACATTCCCTTCCTCGTACGTCGGGTAGTTCGAGAAGAACTCGTACGACTTCAAGCAGGTGACGTTCACCACCAATGCTCGTTCGCCGCGTGCCCCGAACCACCTCCCTACTGGATGCGAGAGCGCCACGTCGAAAACCAACCACGCACAGAAACTGCAGATTTTACCCCGTGGCTTCCGTTTTCCCCGACGGGTCGCGGCCACCACCGGATGTCATCATCTCGACGTGCCGCTGCGGACCTCCGACCGTCGTCAACCAGGCCTCTACCAGAAGATTACTATGCGTCATCACAAAATGTTCCTGCGGAGCACGACCCGTCTCCGCGTACTTCTGCCACCTCTGCTCCTGCTAATGTAAGCCGACATGTCCCCGTTTGCTACACATGTGGTCTCCTAGGGCATATTTCGTGCTTCTGTCCCAGACGGCCGCCTGCACCGCCACGTTTTTCAACGTATCCGGCTCGTATGTACGAAACGCCTGTGCCGCCACGTTTTTTGACGCACCGGCTCGTATGCACGAAACTTAGACCTTTCACCCGGCCGACCACCGTCCCCGACAGCAATGGCCTAACGAACTTCGCAGCGAGTCTCCCGTCTCCGAGCGAAGCCTGACGCCACCTCCGACACGGTCCCGCCGGTCGCCGTCTCCGCGTCGCCGGTCACCTTCCCCACATCAGCTGGGAAACTAACTGGTGCGACCGATGGAGGTGTGGTCGCGGGATGGTCAGTTTCGCCAATTCCTCCTTCTGCTGTGATGTTGATGAACAAAGTGTGTTTGTGTATAGACGGTGTAGATACTCTTGCTCTTGTAGACACTGGTGCTGCTGTTTCGGTTATAAGCCTTCGTTTCAAACATCGTTTCTTGGATCACAAAGTTATGTTCACGTGGAATCGTAAAGAAACTTTTCGTGGAGTTGGAGGCGAAGCGTTATGTTGTTCAGTTGTACTCACGATTGGTGGACAAAATTTCCGAGTTGAATTCACTGTACTGGCTCGTGCAACTCATGACAACATTTTAGGGATAGACCTCCTTCATGAATGCGGTGCTACGCTTGACTGTGGAACTGGAGAGATTCTTCTACAAAGTACGTTGCCCGCTGCAATAGTTGACGATTTTCCGACTCTGCCCATCGATGCTCTTTCGTTGTCTGAAGATGTGACGATCCCTGGTCGGACAGCAGTGTTTGTACCCGTATGCTCCTCTCATGTCCGCTCAGGACCCTGCACTGGACTTGTGAAGCCTGATCATGCAAACGCCATCAAGAAGAATGTGCTGGTCTCACGGTCTGTCCTTACAGCCATCGACGGACATGCTTGCTTGTGGGCGCTCAACGCAGCCTCAGAGCCAGTTGTTCTACCAGCCGGATTCAAACTGGGAACGTTCGAGGAGCAGGCCACAACTGACGTCAGAATGGTCTCGGAGTCTCCAGTCATCAGTCAGACTGCA